ACTCATGCCTCTTCCCCAACTCCCCTACAGAAACAGTTACGCGGGAACTTATCGGACCTGGAGAAACTCCGTCGTTCCATCATCACAGGTCACTTTGGTACTCCAGATCGTATGCATATGGAGAAGGTAAAGTAGAAAAGGGTGTATGCTTTATTTCCCTATTAGTATTGTTACTGATGTAGGCAGTCATATGATATATGTAAGACCAATACTATAAAATGTAGAACTTTACGCAGAGAAATGCCATAGGGATGAAATTTCTTGTCGCAAAGAGTAACAGTTTCAAATTGTTGGATGTCAGCCTGAAAGTGGTTTGTCACTGAGATTTTTAAAAGCAAGGGGGAAGACATCAATGCATCATTACAGTGAAAGCGATGTATCAGTGGAAATTTTTAAAGAACAAGAAACATGGATATTCTCCTAATCTTTCATCACACAAATCCCAAAAGCTGCGAGTGTGGGAGCGCATTGGCGACACAATGGCTACTTGGGGGCCTAGATCACTGATGGTCGGCATGACAAGTGAAGTTCAGGAGGTGACCCGTAGCCTGCACTCAAAATGTGGATCTGGTGAAGGATGCACGAGAACTCAGGTAGAACCATGACGAGTTTGTTTCATTTGTAAATGATGCCTTAAAAAAAAAAAAAAAAAAAAAAAAAAATGCTGATAGTGTCATTGCTTTTATTGTCCTTACTAAAGGTCAACCTGTACTAATCCAGCACCAATTTCAAAATTTCAGGAACCTATACATATAGTCGCATAATTTTGCTTTAGTGTGTATTGAACTTTATTCTCTTCAGAAGCAGAAGTGCTTGTTTGTCATGCCCTAGTTAATACCTGTATATTTATTTCAAACCAAGTTTTGGATATTGCTTCAGTTTCAGATGGATATTCATCATCTGTATATGTTCTGTGTCTCCTTTTGATGAAGGCCCTCAATATCATATTGTTGTTTTCAAAAGATATATATCATTGATATTCAAGGTTGAAGGCCTGTTTTATAAGCACCCTTCTTTATTCCATCAGACTCAAGTGTGAAAACGATGGCGCTTTCATTGACGAGATGAATCCTGGAGGGGTGATTGAGTCTGTGCGTGAACTCTTAGGTCAGATGAGCGCATCACATGTCAAACTCTACGTCGAGGCTTACCAGGCTGATTTGGCTGCGCAGTCTCTGTCTCGAGCCCTCAAGACACTCCATAACAACATTTTTGCAGCTGCAAAGGTACAAGGTTGTTTTTCAAATTATCCTTGTGTACTCTTTGAATGTTTTCTCTCTTTTTCTTTTTCTTTTTTCTTTCTTTTTTCTTTTTCTTTTTTTTCTTTTTTTTCTCTTTTTCTTTCTTTTTCTTGCATTTGATTGTTTTCTTTTTTTTTTCATATATTTATTTCTGCTTTTTGAAGGTTCTGAGTTGGTAGTGTTCGCTGATGAATCACCAAACTGGAATTTCTATATCAACAGCGCAGCTATACTGATGACAGCATCACTGCAGCTGTGGTTGATGTGGTGAAGGAGAACATCAGCGTGGCAGGGGAGAGAGCTGCCCTTAATGCTGCTGAGCAGCTGACATCCTCACTGCAGGAGAGAGCAGACACTGCAGCCAGGGCCAGAGATGCACTGAGAGCCAAACACGCACAGATCATCAGTTTCAACAAGGAAGTGGTGAGTTTGATCGGCATTTTGTTACCACTGTCTAGAGTTCTGTGTATTGAGGACATGATTTTCTCTGTGAATAAACACAATATTTTGGATTAAGAAGAATAGATAAAGGCATGAAAGCAACAACTTTAAATTAAGATGAAAAAATTACTTGTTTACTTTGCACACTTTCCATCAGTGGATCTATTAACCCCATCTGCCATTGAGAACTTGTTTCCAGCAAGTAAGTAGGAAAAGCTTCTGTATATCAGTTCAGAATATATAGAAAATCAGGTGTTCTGGCTTTTGCAACAGTTTATAGATATGCATTGTACTCAGTTTGGTCTTTAATTTGATCTTGAAAAAGGTGTTGAGACATAACAGTGTTAAAAGAGTGAACTATTCAAGGGATATTCATTGGGTTATTAGGTATTCCAAGCAGTGAGACACTGGATTTCAGTTATGTTGAAATGGATTCCATTTTTCCAGTATTTGCAAGGAAAGAGGTTTAGCTATTTTTTTCAAGATTGTGGAGCAAATGATTGGTGTGCTTTATAGCATTTGCAACTATGCTCAGTTTATTGTTAATTAAAGTGAAGGTAAGCTTAATATGTTGCTGATGATTGCCTGAGTGCAGCATGTGCATGTAATATTGTTGAATTTGAAATATTATCTTGAACCTGCCAGTTATCAAATAATTATCATTTTCACCCTGTCAATCTGTTGTCAGTCACTGCCAAGCTGTCACATGCATCCTTGTATATTATTTTTTTTACTTTTTTTCTTCATTAACATTATGATGATATATATATATATATATATATATATATATATATATATATATATATATATATATATAT